GGACTGAACTCTGACAAACATTGTACTGGTTGCACTCTGACTGTACGCAATCATTGCCAGTGTGAGTGAGTGGCATGAACTAGCATACCTTTGGGGCTGGACAAAACTGAGAGGAACCTAGTGAATTACCTAAACCAAGAAAAAATCCAAACGAAGAAACCACCAAAGAAAAACAATCAATGTAAAGGAAGCGCGCCCATGTGTGTGTTTGTGTGCAAGGGGAAAAAATGGGTGTGTGCAAGCAAATACATGAATATTCACTACGACAAAAAAAATCTAAGAGAGGAACGAAACATTAAAAACATCTATTTACCCGCGGTCATGAATTGGGTTTCCTAGCGTATATTCACATTTTTGGCTCTTGCTGGGAAAGTGGAGCTGTGGCTTTTGCTAATGTTCACCTGCCATGCTATTTGCTTTTACTGTATGAAGAGAAACATCAAAGTGAGAGGACAATATATTTGAAAGCACGAATCTATTCTTAAATACATAGTAGGCAAAAAGCAGTTTAAAGTGTAGCAAAGCCATCACTGAAAATAGCAGCTGTATCAAGAGTTTGTAACATGCTGCTTCAAAAAAATAACTGTAATCCAAAAGTCATGTCCGGAGAACAATGGGGGGACGTGGGAGTGTTGAAAAGTCACTATAGGTGGATGGAAAGCAGAGCTGCAGCAAGTTAGAAAGCAAAAGGCCAAAGTAAGTAGACAGACAGAGTAGAAAAAGGAAAGATACATAAATAGGAAGACACAGAGGAAAAGATATTGTCTTCTGTTTACGTTATGCTTTAATTTATATACCTAGTCATATATTACATAAATTAAAGAGAAACTATATACAAAGCTATAAATATATTTCTGAATTCTAATGGCTCTTCTAACTCAAACAAACCCATCCTTGTGCCACTAGATCCATTTGATGTCTTGTATTTCTGATATCAGTTACTCCTCATATCTATCTATATATATGTGTATGCAGTATCTTTTAGTCATTGGTACCTATACATACAGTGAGTATGCATACTCCACTGTGCATATCCGAACTCTCTCCTTCTCTTTCTCACACCCATACATAAAGAACATACATAGCCAGAGCACAAAAATCTTGCTAACCAAGATCAAGTACAGAATGGCAGTAATTTAGTACATAAAGAGCAAAGTAAAAATTAAAACAAGCATCATGTGACTGCAAATGCAATAACCACACAAGAGACAAAAGGCACGACATTCATGACTAGTAAACATTGCATTGTTATTGTTATTTTAGCTTTGCCACAGGCATGCAGTTTGTTGAAAAAGAGATGCAGAACTTTGCCAGCAATAATCCTCTTTTTATATCTTTTACCACAGACTTGCAGTTAAACTGGATTTGGACTAAGTAAAGAGAATTTCCTGAAAATTAAGGGCTAACTGCCCCTCTCATTTGAGGGGGGAAAACATAAAAGGGGACACGCTATTTCCAACAGCTCGATGAGTATCACCTGTGAGGTTATCCTGCCTTTTCTTCAGGATTAGGAGCTTAAACTTGATCAGGGCTGTAGGTTTTGGCAAGAGCACAGAAGGTCCTGCAAAAGAGGTTGGTTTAGCGAGGTGGCCCCTGTGCCATGGTACGTGAGAGGCAGCCCTTCCATGCGCGTTGCCCTCGCTTTCCTGGGCTCTCGGTGGGAAGCCTGGGGGTTGTTTCACTGGCCGCATCTCATACCGCACGGCGTGCAGAGTGCTCACGCAGTCCTGGCTGCTGGCTTTGCGAGGGCGCTTTCCCACCGGGTGCCGAAGGGCTCACAGGGAGCTGCACACCTTCCTGCCTCTGCTTGTACCTGTGCCTGCAGGGCCCCGACAGCTGGTCCCAGCCGGTGGGGTACCGAAGGAGAGGCGTGCTCCTATGCCAGAGACAGTACCGGGCCTCCCTGGGAGCAACCATCAGGGAAAGCAAATCTGACACCACTGATGGGAGCAAAGTGGGAGTCGGGTCCACATTAATTGTATGACGGGGCTTGGATAGTCCAGGACTCAGTTTCCCCAGTGTAACTGTTCTCTTGCACACCAGATGCCTCTCAGCCACGAGGTGATTCTCTTGACAGCGTTTCTTGTCCACTGAACCCTGACGAAGACAATTCTGCTCTTACCAGCACATCCAAAGGGAAAAATACGCAGTGAGTGGCCTGTCACAGATGTGCGCCCTCACTGTATTAGATGGCCCAGCTGTTACACAATGCATCATGCAGTTATTGGCGATATCCTGCATCTCTGCAATTAATATATTTTTACTGTAAAATCCACTGCTGTGAGGTCTGCGTTTGTAAGATTAAAAGGTTGCAACTCATTGAATGATACTATTAAAATGCATTTCATCTGGTGTACTCTCACTCAGCAAGTTTGACACATTTCTTCATGGATTTTAAAATCCAGTTTTAAAATCTGGAATTACAGGAGGTAGATTTCCACTGTGTGGAATGTGAATAATTAAACAGAAAGATATGGATATTTAATGTTATTATTAATACAAATCCTCTTTCACTGATAATAGGCAGAGATTGTTTTCCTTTAAATTACTTTTATGAGTTCCTTTGCAGGGGAAATGGCCAATCTCAGTTGTTGCTGAAAGTTTCGTCCTAGCTAGGGCTTCTGTTCAAGAAATGGGAACACCTTAAGAGTGAATTATTTTTCTTTGTGTGAAGCTGACAGCAAAACTCCTGTTGACTGTTACAGTGACTGCTATGTCCCTAAACTCTTAGCCATTAAGAAAAGCTTCAGACATTACTGACCCCTTTATTTAAGATTAGGCTAGCAGTCTGACGGAAAATTGATAGAAGTTTTAAAAATCTTTATGTTCTAAAACAGCCTGTGCATAGATCATGACAGAACTGCCCTTGAGGCAGATCCCCAACTCCCAAATATGTAAATTTTATACAAAGAACTTTTATGAATTACTAGTTATTGCCGGAGAGTAAGAAAGTTCTGCTAACTTAGAATTATACGAGATATTTAATATCAACCACAATATGTATTTAAATGTCTGCTTTATTCTAAAAACAATGGACTATATAACCTAAGGCTGCAGTATTTTCATGCTCGGTCTCACAAAGCAAAACTTGGTTTAAAATGAAGTTTTAATTATTTTGTAACTGAATAGGATTGGAGTTTTTTCTTCCCAGCATTTTGTACGTCATTTTAACTACTAGTAACAAATAAATAAAATATCTTCTCCAGCCCATGTCTATTGTTGGTTTTTTTCCTTTTTATTTCTTCCTTAAGTTTCCAGCTCTTTCTGGATCTGTTGTACTTTACTCTGACTTCTGTGGTTTCTTCTAATTATAAAAGGGCTTATATTATGACAATGAGACAGAGAGACAAGCAATGGCACCATCATTCAAGACAGCTACTTCAATAAGGTTTTTAAATGAGATCTGTCACTTCCCCCTCACCCTTCCACAATTTATAGAAGGAAAATCTCAATCTTTGGTCACACTTTTCCCTTTGTAAACCATATAGTGACAGTTCAAAATATAAATCAGCCTGGAATTGTTGTAGAGTTAAAGTTGGAGTCGGTGTGCCTGCCTTACACCTTGTCCCAGTTTTAATCCTAGCTAGTGGTTTACTCCCACTTCTAGGAAAGAAGAGTAAGGAACACCTTCACAATACAGCATGTTACACACTGTAAATAGGGACAGAGGAGATGAAAATCAGTTATAACAGAGAGCAGGAGGATTTGTCCCTGCTGGCAGCCCTTGAGCAAGGCCAGGGTTGAGGAAGGACTCCAGTCCCAGAGAAGTGGTTTTTTCAAACTTTCCACCCCGCCAGTGGGAGAGAGGCAGTTGTGGTATGAATTTTACCTTTCCAACCTGTCAGATGTGTGAGGGACTCAATCAATCTCTGCAGAGCCCCAAGGGATCCTGCTCTCTGCAGCAGCAGTGGCACTGTCTGCCCTTGTGAAGAAAGCTGCTCTGACAGGGACTGCCATCTCGCCAAACTGGGCCGAGGATGGTCTCAGATTTCACATACACCTCTGAGTAGTGACACAGGCCTAGTAATTTTTAGACGCACACCTTTTAGCTCAAAGGGACAAATGACATAGCTATACAGTCATAGGAGGGAGCAGCACGCAGTGCTTTCCCATGGCGCACACAGATAACCACAGGAAAGGGTCAGATGTCCTGTTTCCAGCTCTGAAAAGCTGGGTGCTGATAAGATCCAGTGTGTTCTCCCTTCACGCAATAATGGAGCTGAGCAGTCTTTGTAGCACTGGTTGTTTGGGGTGTTTTAAATGTTTTTTTGTGTAGTCTTCCTTCTCTTCTGGCTTTTCTGTGCTTCTAAAACTTACTGAAAGGGTAGTAACATTAAAGTCGTTATTTCTGGAAGGCAATTCACTTTTTTCTAGCCTGAGGTATGAGCACAGTTGGACAGAATAAGTTTCCTTGAAAAGATGTGCATATATGTATTTGTTTGAATAATTAAAACAGAGAGAAAAACCTGGACTTACCTTTCTAGTACACCGTAGTACCATGGTCTTACTATTTACATGCTAACAAGCTCAGATATTCATTAAAATTTACATGTCCTTTATATATATATAGTCTTGTGTCCTTCACATATATAGTTACACTGATCAAAAGAAGATGACAGAGAATTCACACACCATACTCAGCTTTCAGGGACACTGAAATAGGACTGTTTTTAGCTCTCTCCCCAGTGAGGTAGGCTAGATTTCTCAGTGTGATTTCTGTGCGTTCTCTGTCACCCATGTGCTGTGCAGTTGATCTGCACACACGTTGTAGGACTGAGGCATCAAGAGCATGTCAGATTTGCCGAGCATGTGCAAGACATCTGAGCAACACATGCGCACAGCAGGTACAGTGCGTCCTGGATGGGTCAGCGGAACAGACAGCATCGTGGCTCCGCTCCAGCTGCCTGTCAGCGACTGTGCCTGGCTGGTAGGAGGGACATTGCATTTGCAAAAATGATGCAGAAATTTAACCTTGTAATTTACCTTATCCTGAGTGAAAAGAAAAAAAAAAAAAGGAGCAGTGGAGAACTGTACCCTTGGGGACTGGTGTTTCTTTGTGCTAGCCAGTGCAGAGGAGTAAACCTAGAGTTGTTAGTTCCAACGGGTTTCCTAAAGGAGAAGTACCAAGTCTCTGATAGAAGACTGAGACGAGAATGATGCTTTTATTAACCCACCCTCCCTTTGCTTCTGAAAAAAACATACATGTTATTTGCTCCAAATAACTCAAACCTGCCTTAGAAACCACTTCATTAATTATTGAAATGTAGCACTCAATAGCATCAGAAGAAGGTCCAAAATTTTTTCTGAATTATTCTGCTTACCTGGATAGTTGCACCAACCAAAGGCTTCTAAGGAGAGAGCTGCAACATTTAAAAGTGAAAAAATTGATGTGTATTTGGATTTAGTCAAAACATGTGAGATACCACTGCTACATATTTTGAAGAACCATCAGATCTTGGCCTTAAGGAATCAAAAAGATTAACCATAATAAGATTCAGGCACTTTGCTTTATTATTTTATCAGCTGAGACTGAAACCTGGAATACATAGCAACGCACAGGTGTCACAATGAATCCCGGTGCAGATTTCTGATGCTACCTCATAAGGCAGCTTCCCAAAAACAGCTGAAGCCTTTCTGCACTGCCTGCCTGGGAATGTACCTGATGGCTTTAAGGCGCCCTTTGGCAATGTGTGGCTTCTTGTTGCCTGAATTTCTCCCCTAACTTTTATGGGTCTGGGGGGAGGAGTGCAGAAAATATAACTGTCTCCTGCTCCATCTTCTATTATTTTCTAAAAATGTTGCAAATAAAATTCATAATCTGCCTTTTTTGAATGATCAAGGAGCAAGATATGAGGATCAAATTATATACTGACATAAAAGAAGAATATTTGGGATCACATTAAAAAACCCAAACTTCTAAGTTGCGATAAGCAATAACTCCTTCTTGCTGTGATACAGATGTAAATCAAATAGCTTGGGGAGGAATCCAATGGAGAAGTTACACTGACTCCCAATAAAAGTTCTGCAAATAAAGTTTGAAATCGCCATGTTTGCATTTATTTTTTAAAGAATGCCTTATGGAAACAGCCATATCCCAATTCATATTATGAGAGATCAAAAGAACAAAGGTTACAATAATATCTCCATCTCTCTCCAGAATAATTGAGAGCTATATCTTATCCTTCTGTCTAGTAATATCAATATGGACTTCAGCAAGAAAGCAATCGGAAAGAATTAATGTGTCAGTTACAGCTCATCTGGGACAGCAACACTCAAATTCATTAATCATAATTTTATACTTATTGCATGGCATCACTACAGAACACTGTTAAGTTTGTTTGATTTATTTAGGGATGAATTTGCAGACCTTATTTTTTT